CTCTTTGTGTAAACCTCTGACGGAAATCAATCTAACTCTCATTTCGTTTTAGATGAATTCTGTTGCTAAATGTAGCGCGCATAGTCTGCTACGTCAATGGGCGGCAGGAAATGGCATGATGGGATTTGAGAGGCTATCTGAAAGGTGTGGACAGGATCCTAGAACTCGCGTCTTGCACCATCAATTTTTACTATCACGCATTCCAGCATATTATGACAGTGGGCCCAGGGGATCTATTAACAAAATGTACAGATGAGTGCCAGCTGCACTAGATCCAGATGCAAGATATGAGCCTGTAAACGTTAAGAGTTACTTAAAACAGCATCATATAAGACATCATCTATATTATTTGACAGAGTTTGTTTAAACTTGGACTTACTGGTTTTATAAGCAAATGTGACTAGGATAAACACGTTTTGTTTTGATAGATGCCAGCTATTACTTTGCATAATTGTGTAAAAATGATATACCGGGGTCATAAAAATAAACAATGAATGCATGACTTTGGCATTGGAGGAAGTAAGTGCATAAAATAAGTGCACTTGTCCTGCACCATTTGTGTTAAAGACAAGATTGCTAGCTCATAAGCCAGCTTTATGGGGAGATATGTGACATTTATTTTCTAACTATACAATGGGTGATGAATATCTCAAAGGCCGAAACTGGACGAGGAACACAAGTGAGGGATGGAGATTTGTGGTATGCACATCCAGGGCACGAAGCTCCCGTTCCAACACAACCCAAAGATGCTCTATTGGGTTGAGATCTGGTGACTGTGGGGGTCATTTTAGTACAGTCAACTCATTGACATGTTCAAGAAACCAATTTGAAATGATTCGAGCTTTGTGACATGGTGCATTATCCTGCTGGAAGTAGCCATCAGAGGATGGGTACATGGTGGCGATAAAGGGACAGAAACAATGCTCAGGTAGGCTGTGGCATTTAAACGATGACCAATTGGCAGTAAGGCCGTGTGTCCACCAAAGCGTTTTTAGCCAGCTGAAAACGCTAGACGCTCTGCTGAAGATGCCGTGCTTTGGGTGCTTGAGAGCGTTTTGGCAGTGCAGCGTTGAGACGTTCCGTTGCTATGATACAGAATATCCGCAGCAGTTTGAATGTTGTGACAGTTGGTCGGTGTGGCATTAGTCCCGCCCCTCCTCCACTGTGATTGGATGTCTGGGTAAAAAGTGACAGTGATGACCGCTGCGTTTTATCCAAAGTTGAACATTTTTCAACTCCCAGCGACCAGTAAAAACGCGGCGCTCGGCGCTTCAGCGTGAAAAAAACGCTCAGCGCCTCGGGGGCGTTTAAAAAAACACGGCACTCACATTGAAAACAATTGAAAACATACGCCAGGCGCGTGGAAAAACGCTTTGGTGGACACACGGCCTAAGGGGCCTAAATTGTGCCAAGAAAACATCCCCCACTTCATTACACCACCACCACCAGCCTGCACAGTGGTAACAAGGCATGATGGATCCATGTTCTCATTCTGTTTACGCCAAATTCTGACTCGACCATCTGAATGTCTCAACAGAAATCGAGACTCATCAGACCAGGCAACATTTTTCCAGTCTTCAAATGTCCAATTTTGGTGAGCTCTTCCTATTTGTAGTGGGGGTGAGTGGTACCCGGTGGGGTCTTCTGCTGTTGTAGCCCATCCGCCTCAAGGTTGTGCGTGTTGTGGCTTCACAAATGCTTTGCTGAATACCTCGGTTGTAACGAGTGGTTATTTCAGTCAAAGTTGCTCTTCTATCTGCTTGAATGAGTCGGCCCATTCTCCTCTGACCTCTAGCATCAACAAGGCATTTTCGCCCACGGGACTGCCGAATACTGGATGTTTTCCCCTTTTCACACCATTCTTTGTAAACCCTAGAAATGGTTGTGCGTGAAAATCCCAGGAAGTGACCAGATTGAGACTCAGACCGGCCCATCTGGCACCAACAACCTTGCCACGCTCAAAATTGCTTAAACCGCCTTTCTTTCCCATTCTGACATTCAATTTGGAGTCAGGAGATTGTCTTGACCAGGACCACACCCCTAAATGCATTGAATCAACTGCCATGTGATTGGTTGATTAGATAGTTGCATTAATGTAAACAGGTGTTCAATCTTGAAAAAATCTAATATGTGTTCAAGACCACTTGGATATTCCACATATGGGACACTTGACATGTTTTGGCAAATATCCACCATGCTTTGTTTTGTAAAAAGCATGGTTGAAGGAGCATCATTGTTTAGCACTGCATTATTACTCAGGGCTGGGAATGCATTTATATAGTAATGTTTTGATGATTGTACCTCTCAGTCTCAGCCAAATGCAAAATAACAAACATGCCAGCCAACCCATGAAACACCTGAATGTAACTACTGACCTCAGGTGTTATAAAATGCCCTTTTGTTTTATCTTATTTACAGCCCTCTATCCGCCAGACAAAAGCTGCCAGTCTCCTGGCACACATGCATGGCAGCTGTGCCAGGGGCTTGTTTTGGCAGAGAACCACGGCAAAACAAGAGAGACTATTAGTCCTGGTGTCATGGCAGTGGAGTGGGGGATCAATCTCGATTTTGGAGTGCTGGGAGTTCTGGGTGATAGCAGTGTTCAGCCAAGACCCCCTCGGAAACAACAGCATGCAACAGATGCTGTGGAAACATTGCAATCTATCAGTTCACCAGTAGTGGTGTGGGTCATTCACCTTCATCAAAGTTTGCCCGCCTGAAAATATAAAGCTCAGCTGAGACGGCGTGTCGGAGTCTCCCACCGGCCTTATTTGAATTCATTTGCAAATTTCTGCAGCCAGGAGGAGATTGGAGCTTCGCACACCCCATTAAAGTTGGAGCCATGTTGTGTTCAGCTATCTAGGTCAAATCAAAATGATTTCAGCGTGAAGATTGAGGTGATTTTTTTGAGCAGCGGGGAGACTGGAAGCAGTGACATCGTTGTGACATCAGAGAACCGCTGTGTTCATTTGTAACTCAAGACCGAGCGGCTGCTTTGCTTCACAGATTAGATCAAAGCTGGCAATGTCAGGCTCCATAAACCAACATTCAAGACTTGTGTACCCTCAGGAGGCTTTCTTTCTGTAAATATTGGACGGTGTGATGCTACTGAAACATGCGTGAATGTGATGACAAAGAAGAACCGCTGTTTTACCCAGACCCTAAAAATCTAGACCACCCCGTCGTCTAAATCACGTCAATGGATGGCGGACGTTTTCAGCTCCCCGGCGCCAAACATAAATCAAGAAAAGCACGGCCAGTGGAGGGACACTAATTACCCAGGCATAAGGGCTCAAGCTACAGCCACTCCAGCCTCAATCTCCACACGTCAATCACCCTGAATTGGACACGAGAGGGAATGAGATTTGAGGGCTATATGGCGGAAGAGAAGCGTTGCATAAACAGACGTTTGTGACAGCTCTTGGCAACAGCACAGCAAAATTATGCCAGACATTGTGACCTCTGACATAAACTGTGGCTGTTGATAGACTTTCATTTTTTTTGAGCCATATGGGGTTACTGACAAGGCCTAAAAGAGTATTAATGAAGCTCTCAGTGATGATATGTGGGATATTTTGGGAGTGATTATCATAGTTATTTGGTAACACTATACAATAAGGACTTATTTGTTAGCATTAGCTAACATGAAGACAACACACACCAACATGGGGCGAACATAGTGATGGAAAGACCAACTGAGCTGGGACTCGGGACTCAAACTGGGTATCATCTTGGTGGAAAGTTGTCATGATTCTTCTGTGTTCAATATTTATGGACTTTTTATTTTGTCTTACTGTGCCTGTTTTAATTTACACTGCATTTAATTCCTGTTTCAATTGCTGTCTTGGAAGGCTGCGTTTAACACTTTTAGACATACTGTACACTCACAAACCTCCCTAAACACTACCCCTCTGGGAAATCCCCACAGCCATTTTGAAGTGTGTTCAACTTCGTCAAGTGGACAAGAGAAGTTTATTTGGACAGAAGCTGATCAACAACGCGACAGGGCACTAAAAATTAAAACTGTACCTCAAGATCCATTCGGCCTCTTTTCCCTGACCGCGTCCAGATTTTTTTGTTTGACATCTTCTTTTTTTTCAGTCCAGATGAAAAAACAAAATTCATCTTCCTCTATTTGTTTACCACAAGCACACGCTGGTTATTCTTCTATACTAAATTGAGTTGTAGTCTATGAAGTGAGATTTTGAGATTGCACAGCCTGTAGCAGGCATTAGTGTTTGTGTGTTCATGGATTAAAGACTGTCTGCTAAAAGATCTTCACCTCTCCTCGCCCCTGCTATGCCCATGACAACATTGCTGAACAGTTAGTGTGTTTAATAATAAACACATTTTGGTTATATTAACAATTACAGTTAGAATCCCTGAACCCATGTGCATTCATTTAGGTTTTTAGTGTTGTGCATTCTAGGCTATATGGTCAGATGTTAATCTTGTAATTTACTTGACACAACATTTTATTGTGTAGAATGGGGTTTGGATTTAAACATTTGTACTTTATTCTTATTTTACACACCTATAATGTTCTTAACAATATTCCAGTAACGTATTCAGCCACTATACTTATTTCCTCTACACAACTTTAAATATGATCATATACTGCAGTGCAAGGAATACGTTTATTGTAAATGGCACTTTGGAACATTCTCAACAGCGATGCTCTTAACCAAGATAGAAAAGCATCGAATGTCTCTTAACGGTGGATTATGAATACTTGAGCCTGACAGATTTTCTGAGCTATATCTTTGGAACATCCTTTTAGTTGTGGCTTGTTACATCATTTGTAATCCTTACAGCGTGACACTTACTGCAAGTTCAAGACCAGGCCGTCAAAAGCTATGAGAGCGTGTTGGGAATGAGAAACAGACTTTTATGCACACTGACAGCCAACTGCCTGCATTCATCACATCCTAGAAGAGGCTGCTTTTGTTTCTGACCGCACAGTTCAGGAAGCTTTATGATACTGATGCCAGGCGACTTACCTGAAGTTGATACAGGATCCTCAGGGAAAGTTAGCTCTTCCTCTGCTATCCAAGAAAAGTTCCAGTATTTGGGGCCGGAGGTCGGATTCCCTGAGTTTGTGGATAAGGGTCGTTCTGCAAACAAAAGTAAAATTTTCCGTCAAGGGCCTTTGCAAATATACAGCAGTGTCAGAATATGACTGCTCTATGTGATACAGGCTTTATCTCAATTTTAGAACATCTCAGACCAGGTTTAGCTCCAACCTTGATTAAACTCACCAGCCTGTACCTTTCAAGCAGAGATGGTCTTATTATTGAGACATAAAAGGGTCTGTGGCTCTCCCATTGGAGAAAGAGTGAAGCTAACTTGGATCACGTGTGCCTTGATAACCAATATAACATTACAGCATTGACATCATTGAATTTCGTTCATAGTTGTGCGATAGTCAATCACTGTTTGCAGATACCATAGAAATGAATGAGTGGTGTCGTGAACTGAATCATACCTGTCGCGCAATTGTTAGATGGTCCTCACTGCAGAACACAAAATCAAGGGGGAGGAGATGAATCCAGATCCAACTCCTCCCAGTTTACATTTGCCTAATCCTACCCATCTCTGCCCCCTGATCCCTAACCCCACCCCTAATTCTACCTATCTCCACCCCTGATCCTTAACCCATCTCCACCCTCTGATCCCTAACCCCACCGCTAATCCTACCCATCTCCGCCCCCTGATACCTAACCCCACCCCTAATTCTACCCATCTCTGCCTCCTGATCCCTAACCCCACCCCTGAACCAACCAATCTCCACCCCTGCTCCCTAACCTCACCCCTAATCCTACCCATCTCTGCCTCCTGATCCCTAACCCCACCCCTGAACCAACCAATCTCCACCCCCTGATCCCTAACCCGACCCCTAATCCTACCCATCCCCACCCCTGATCCCTAACCCCACCCTAATTCTACCCATCTCCACCCCTGATCCTTAACCCATCTCCACCCTCTGATCCCTAAGCCCACCCCTAATCCTACCAATCTCCGCCCCCTGATCCCTAACCCCACCCCTAATTCTACCCAGCTCCACCCCAGATCCCTAACTCATCTCCACCCTCTGATCCCTAACCCCACCCCTAATCCTACCCATCTCCTCCCCCTGATCCCTAACCCCACCCCTGAACCAACACATCTCCACCCCTGATTCCTAACCCCACCCCTAATCCTACCCATCTCCACCCCCTGATCCCTAACCCCACCCCTAATCCTACCCATCTCCACCCCGATCCCTAACCCCACCCCTAATCCTACCCATCTCCACCCCCTGATCCCTAACCCCACCCCTAATCCTTCCCATCTCCACCCCCTGATCCCTAACCCCACCCCTAATTCTACCCATCTCCACCCCCTGATCCCTAACCCCACCCCTAATCCTACCCATCTCCACTCCCTGATCCCTAACCCCACCCTTAATCCTACCCATCTCCACCCCCTGATCCCTAACCCCACCCCTAATCCTACCCATCTCCACCCCCTGATCCCTAACCCCACCCCTAATCCTACCCATCTCCACTCCCTGATCCCTAACCCCACCCTTAATCCTACCCATCTCCACCCCCTGATTCCTAACCCCACCCCTAATCCTACCCATCTCCACCCCCTGATCCCTAACCCCACCCCTAATCCTACCCATCTCCACCCCCTGATCCCTAACCCCACCCCTAATCCTACCCATCTCCACCCCCTGATCCCTAACCCCACCCCTAATCCTACCCATCTCCACCCCCTGATCCCTTACCCCACCCCTAATCCTACCCATCTCCACCCCTTAGATCTGGATCCAACTCCGCCCCCTGGATTGCAATGAGGTGCTACTGGCAATTGTCTGTGACTTCTCTTATAAAACAGAATAGATCAATCCAAGGCAAAAGTTTATCAGCAAATACTTTCAAGATTAGCCCAAAGGCTGTTGATTCACTTAATGATAAGTCATATCCTCACAGAAGCGGTTTATTCAGCGTAGTGAAGCCTCTCCACCGTTGACATCCATTAAAAAAATGGCATCTTGTCTCCTTCCCACCGTTAATGTTATACTTTTTTAGGCTAAGGTTGCAGGCTTGCCTTGCTTTGAGGTACTGATGAAGACTTTGATTAGCTTGTTCAGGTGTGTTTGATTGGAGCAAAACTCTGCAGGAAACTGGACCTTGATGGCCATGATTGCAATGATTTAAATTATGCTTCTAATGTTGCACTGCAGTAGGTAATGTACATAATGTTTGCTTTCAAAAAATGTTCTGCCTTTTAAAAAAATGATCTACCTTAATTAGTTTTACTTTAGTTGTTTGCTTATTCTAATCATCCTTCATTACACACACCTGCAACGATTTTGCTGACACAGATCATTTGTTTATAGAGCACTGCTTGTCTAAGCAAATTACGGGATCAAGAACCACTGAAGGTTTCTTCACCATATGCATTATTTAGATAAGCACATACATTTAGGATACATATGCACAACATAAATTTACTAAAAACGGAATTGTTTTTCCTTTGCATTTTGCAACATTGACAAAATGATCCCCGTTCACACGGATCCATGAAAACGAATAAAAATGCTGTATTATATAAGCCAGGCCAGTAGTTGGCAAAGTCACTTTTAAAAGAAACAATAAGCACCTATAGACTGAACACACAATGTGCATGTACATGACGTCAATGTTTTCAAATTTATTTTGTAGAATATAACAGTATCATTTCAAAAGTTTGCATTTGCAGGTCCCCAAAATGTAAAAAAAAAAAAAAAAAAAAAAAACGAAGGATATATTTGCAGTTGGACATAGTTGGTTGCTTAAATGCTTTTATTCGGTCAGAATGCAGATATTGAATGGCTGTTGCTGGTGAAAGATGCATTATGGCAAAATAATCATTTGGATATAAATATTATGGTCTTATTTTGGATCTCAGAGTCTCTATTTTAGTCTTGGCCACTTTTCTTTTCTTTCTTTCTTTTTAAAAAATGACTAACAGTATTATCACACCAGGAGCGACTTATACTGTAGCTTAGAAACTGATAAAGACATACTGATAAAGTCATACACTGTTAAAAAATGGCAAGCAGCAGTTAGAACCATAAAGAGTATTTATATTTAAGCTATAAAAATTAGTTTTGTTGGAATTAATTAAAATACTTAGTTTGATCATAGGTTGTATCACTAAAAATAATACTTATACTTAATTACATTTTATACTCAATTACACTACAATCATTTTTAATCCTTATGCGTTAACTTGGACTTTTATAGTATCATGATAAATCAATGTATTAGTTTTGTGAAGTTTATTTAACTTTTATTTGAAAGAGCCAATGAATCCATTTCAATGTGGAATTGTAATTAGTCACAACTATGGTCATTTATTCTTGTGATGAGATTACGAGACTTCTTATTTTCTCCTACAGCAATGCATTTTACAACCATTGTTGAAAACAAACTTGACATGAGTGTAAAAACAGTAGTAGAATTAACTGATAACTGACTATATACGAAGGGTCAAATGTTACCGAATATTGACATCATACAGATACAGATTTTAGAGAGCATTTGATTGGATAGAAGATGTGATGAGAAGCTGTCTTGAAACACCAGCTTATTTATAACATTAAGGTTAACATATTCATCCTAACAGAAAAGCAACTTAAATTTTGATTTCAGGGGCCCTTTAATACACTTTCTATACTTTATGAATGTTTGTATTTCTATATATCTCCATCTGGACCACACATCACAGTCCAAAAAGTAAACTGGACAGATTTCTTTGATTGTGCTATGTGTTGACCCTGATTATTCTCTCTACTCTACCTTCCGAACCAGGCTAATTAATAAGAAGATAAATTACACAGGGAGTCTGTTTTGGACTATAAATCTTCTGGCTGGTTAAGATCTATCACAGCTCATTGTAGGCTTTGTGGAATGTAACGAACAGTGTGCTTCAGCCAGTACTTTACAGGGCCTCAGAAGCCCAGTCGCACATATACTCTTTAATCATTCCAAATGACGAATAAGAGAGGATCGATAGTAAACAGAAAACTACTTTCATGAGTAGTTATTAAAGTGCATAAGAGATCAGTGCTTGATACCGTATTCCACTGACTTTAAATTGGGAAGCATGGGTGTGGGGGGCTTTGGTTCAAACCTGACATATAGTTATATGTATATACCAAACATATATTTTTATTCAAAGATCAACAGTTTGTATTTAGTCTGCCACCAAAAAAAAACAAAAAAAACAACAACAACAAAAATGTGTTACTGTTGTAACAGTGCACAGGCTAAATTAGACCTTTCAGGCTATATCCAACATATTCTCATCTTTTAGTGTCATATGTGACACTATATGACAAAACAGCCAAATACTATGCACATGGCACCCGTTATCATTAATATAACACACGCTGTGATGGGTAGGTTTAGGTGTGGGGTAGGGTAGGGTAGTCTCATATTACGCTAAAGGATTTATGACGCCTTGGGTTCGCGTGTTATATTAACGATAAAAGGTGCCATGTGCATAGTATTTCGCCGTTTTGTCATATAGCGTAACATATGACGCTAAAGTATGAGAACAGGTAATGCTAATAAGCCTTATGCCAAAATAATTTTTACAACTAAATTGTCGGTCATTAAATAGGAAAACGAAATAATTGTGTAGATGATTTGCTTCAAGTGTAACACGACATAAGACATTAAGTTCTACACGTGAACACTTTGAATCATTTTGACGCGCAGAAAAAACAAAAGTTTAGACGACTCCGGCTGCTGCAACTTGAGGGGGCTTGTTTCGACAGCCAAAGAACCGGTTCTGTTTTTTTTTTTTTTTTTTTTTTTTTTTTTTTTGAAAACATCATAAGCAAAGAAGAAAACAGTCACGATATAGAACAAATAAATGGAAAGGAAAAAAAAAAAGGTACAAGACCGGGGTACATACTGTAACTAATCAGAAAAGATTACATATCAAAGAAAAAGATTAAAAGACTTAGATATTTCAATTGTTTTTAAAGCCGTCTTGGTACATGAGTTAGAGATAATCCCAAAGTAATGTTGTACTTGCAAGCGTTTCTATGGCGACGTACACACTGACATAACGG